CTTCTTCATCTTCTTCTTCCGACATCGACTTCAGAGGACTAACGTCAGGATTTAGGGATTAGTCCCAGCGGTGTTCTGACCCGACACCGGTTACATCAGGGATTATGTGTGATGACACTTGTGACTAGGCACAGATCCATGTCACCTCCGTGTCACCTCCGTGTGACCTCCGTGTCACCTCCCTCGTCTCTCCTGCCCCCTTCGTCTGTGTATGGTTGCAGGGATCTGAAGCGCCTTCCGTGTTTGGCTTCAGATCCATTGAAAGAAAAGGAAAAAAAAAAAGAATATGGATCAAACCTCGGGCCACGAGTTATATTTTTGTTGAAAAAAAAAAAACGACAAAAAGTTTCATAACAAAGAAAAAATGAATCAAAGGAACAAAGCAAGAAACAAAGAAAGACATAAAGGAGAAGAAGAATAAGAAAAAAAAGAAGAAGAAGAAGAAGAAGAAGAAGACGAAGAAGAAGAATAAGAAGAAGAAGAAAAACAAAGGAAAAAAGAAATATAACCGGGTTACGGCGGCCCTACCATGTCGCAGGGCGCCGATCGGCCGAACCCGTCATACCCGAGCTCTTATACACATCTAGATGTGTATAAGAGACCGGGTTACGGCGGCCCTACCATGTCGCAGGGCGCCGATCGGCCGAACCCGTCAAACCCCCCCCAACAACCTTTTTTTTTTTTTTTGTCAAAACAAAATGAACCTTTTCGCTGCCTGTTGGCGCTATAGCTCCAGCGGCCTTCGACTTTCAGAGGCCTTCAGGCAAAGGCGCCACCTTCCACTGTGCAGGTACGGTTAGGATGAGGACAGGGCAGCGAGGTTAGGATGAGCACTGAGCATCTTGCCTATGGCGGGCGCTGTGGATGACGACGGAGAATAAGAAGACGAGGAAGGAGAAGAAGAGGAGGACGAAGAAGAAGAAGAAGCTGAAGAAGAAGAAGAAGAAGAACAGGAGGAGGAAGAAGAAGAAGAAGCGAAAGACAACCATCGTCGTTTCTCTCCTTTCTCTTCGTCTTTTTCATGTCCTCCCTCCTCCTCCTCCTCTTCTTCGTCGGAGTTGTCTTCCTCCTCCTCCTTGTCATCGCCGTCTTCCTCCTCCTCCTTGTCATCGCCGTCTTCCTCCTCCTCCTTGTCATCGCCGTCTTCCTCCTCCTCAACCTTTTCCTCTTCCTCTCTGTCCTCCTCCTCTTCCTCCTCTTCTTCCTCATCATCATCATCGTCTTCTTCGTCGTGTGCTCAAGCTTTGGCTATGCGTCGTGTGTGTGTGTGTGTGTGTGTGCGCGTGCGCGTGTGTGTGTGTGTGTGTGCGCGCGCGCGTGTGTGTGTGTGTGTGTG